AGGGTGGACTTCCTTGTCTTGTTCCTGATCTTAGAGGAAATGCTTTCATTTTTGCACCATTGAGATGTTTCCTGTGGGTTTGTCATATATGGCCTTTATTATGTTGAGGTAGGTTCCCTCTGTGCCCACTTTCTGAAGAGTTTTTATCATAAATGGGTGTTGAATTTTGTCAGAAGCTTTTCCTGCATCTACTGAGATGATCATATGGTTTTTATTCTTCAGTCTGTTGATGTGGTATATCATAGTGGTTGATTTGCAGATATAGAAGAATCCTTGCATCCCTGGGATAAATCCCACTTGATCGTGCTGTATGATCCTTTTAACATGTTGTTGGATTTGGTTTGTAGTATTCTGTTGAGGATTTTTGCATCAAGGTTCATCAGTGATATTGGCCTATAATTTTCTTTTTTTGTGGTATCTTTGTCTGGTTTTGGTATCAGGCTGATGGTGGCCTTGTAGAATGGGAGTGTTCCTTCTTCTGCAATTTTTTTTGGAAGAGTGAGAAGGATGGGTGTTAGCTCTTCTCTAAATGTTTGATAGAATGTGCCTGTGAAGCCATCTGGTCCTGGACTTTTGTTTGTTGGAAGTTTTTAAATCACAGTTTCAATTTCAGTACTCATGATTGGTCTGTTCATATTTTCTATCTCTTCCTGGTTCAGTCTTGGAAGGTTGTACCTTTCTAAGAATTTGTCCATTTCTTCCAGGTTGTCCATTTATTGGTGTATAGTTGCTTGTAGTAGTCTCCTTTTTCATTTCTAATCTTATTGAAAGGGGAAGCCTGTCCCTTTTTTCTCTGATGAGTCTAGTAAAGGTTTACCAGTTTCGTTTATCTTTTTAAAGAACCAGGTTTTAGTTTCATTGATCTTTTCTATTGTTATCTTCATCTCTGTTTCATTTATTTCTGCTCTGATCTTTGATTTCTTTCCTTCTCCTAACTTTGGGTTTTGTTTGTTCTTCTTTCTCTAGTTGCTTTAGGTGTAAGATTAGGTTGTTTATTTGAGATGTTTCTTGTTTCCTGAGGTAAGATTGTATTGCTATAAACTTCCCTCTTAGAACTGCTTTTGCTACATTCCATAGGTTTTGGATTGTTGTGTTTTTATTTTCATTTGTCTCTCTTAATTTCCTCTTTGATTTCTTCAGTGATCCATTGGTTGTTTAGTAACATATTGTTTAGCCTCCACGAGTTTGTGTTTTTTACAGTTTTTTTTCCTGTATTTTTTATTTCTAATCTCATAATGTTGTGGTCAGAAAAGATGCTTGATATTTCAATTTTCTTAAATTTACTGAGGCTGGCTTTGTGGCCCAGCATGTGGTCAGTCCTGGAGAATGTTCCATGTGCACCTGAGAAGAATGTGTATTCTGCTCCTTTTGGATGGAATGTTCTATAAATATCAATTAAGTCCATCTAGTGTAAAGTGTCATTTAAGGCCTGTGTTTCCTCATTGATTTTCTGTCTGGATGATCTGTCCATTGGTGTCAGTGGGGGGGTTAAAGTCCCCCACTTTTATTGTGTTACTGTCAATTTCTCCCTTTATGGCTGTTAGTATTTGCTTTATATATTGAGGTGCTTGTACGTTGGGTGCATACATATTTATAATTTTTATATCTTGGGTTGATCCCTTGATCATTGTGTAGTGTCCTTCCTTGTCTCTTGTAACAGTCTTTATTTTAAAGTTGATTTTGTCTGATATGAGTATTGCTACTCCAGCTTTCTTTGTTTTCCATTTGCATGGAATATCTTTTTCCATCCCCTCACTTTCAGTCTGTATGTGTCCCTAGGTCTGAAGTGGGTCTCTTGTAGACAGCATATAGATGGGTCTTTTTTTGTATCCGTTCAGCCAGTCTATGTCTTTTGGTTGGAGCATTTAATCCATTTACATTTAAGGTAGTTATCAATACATGTGTTCCTATTTCCATTTTCTTAATTGTTTTGGATTTGTCTTTGTTGCTCTTCTTTCTTCCCTTCTTTTGTTCTCTTGTGGTTTGATGACTATCTTTAATGTTGTGTTTGGGTTGCTTTTTCTTTTTTGTGTGTGTATCTATTGTAGTTTTTTGGTTTGTAGTTCCCACGTGGCTTTGATATAGCAGTCTGTATATGTACAAGGTTGTTTTATTTTTTCACTTTAAAATGTGGTTTTTTAAAAAATATATTTTTTATGGGCTTCCCTGGTGGCGCAGTGGTTGAGAGTCCACCTGCCGATGCAGGGGACACGAGTTTGTGCTCCGGTCCGGGAAGATCCCACATGCCACGGAGTGGCTAGGCCCGTGAGCCATGGCAGCTGAGCCTACGTGTCTGGAGCCTGTGCTCCGCAACGGGAGAGGCCACAACAGTGAGAGGCCCGCGTACCTCAAAAAAAAAAAAAAAAAAATATATATATATATATATATATATATATTTTAGCCACTTGATTCCTTTTTTGTCTTTAGTTTTTGCAAATTGGTTGGAAATCAACATTTCTAATCACAATGTTTAAATCAGGTTTCATAATTAAACCACTTTTATGTGATTTACGGTGACTGACAACTTCTCACACTGTCTCCCTCCTCACCCTTGGGTCCTACTCTCCTTTGCAACTTTTTAAAAATAACAGCTTATCGGGCTTCCCTGGTGGCGCAGTGGTTGAGAGTCCGCCTGCAGATGCAGGGGACACAGGTTCGTGCCCCGGTCTGGGAAGATTCCACATGCCGCGGAGCGGCTAGGCCCGTGAGCCATGGCCGCTGAGCTTGCGCGTCTGGAGCCTGTGCTCCGCAACGGGAGAGGTCAGAACAGTGAGAGGCCCGCGTACTGAGGAAAAAAAAACAACAGCTTATCGAGATATCTCAACAATTCACATACCATACAATTCACCCATTTAAAGTGTACAATGGCTTTTAGTATATTCACAGTTGTGTACCCATCTCCACAGTCAATTTTAGAATATTTCCATCCTCTCTAAAGAAAACCTGTACCCATTAGCTGTCACTCCCCATCCCTGCCCACCTCCCAGCCCCTGGCAACCACTAATCTACCTTCTGGCTCTGATTTGCCCATTCTGGACATTTCATATAAACTAACTCATACAATATATGACTTTTTGTGACTGGCTGCTTTCACTCTGCATAATGTTTTCAAGGAAGTACTTCATTCCTCCTGTTGCCTGGATGACATTGTATTTTACGTCTATAACACGTTTTATTTATCCATTCACTAGTTTATGGACTTTGGGGTTGTTTCTGCTTTTGGGCTATTATAAATAATGTTGCTATGAACATCTGTGTACACATTTTTGTGTGGATGTATATTTGCTTTTCTCTTGGGCATAGGAGTGAAATTCTTTTGTTACTTTTTATGATGAAAACTCTTTTTTTTAAATAAATTGATTTATTTATATTTTATTTTTGGCTGTGTTGGGTCTTCATTGCTGCGCACGGGTTTTCTCTAGTTGTGGTGCGCGGGGGCTACTCTTTGTTGTGGTGCATGGGCTTTTCATTGCAGTGGCTTCTCTTGTTGTGGAACGTGGGCTCTAGGTGTGTGGGCTTCAGTAGTTGTGGCATGCAGGCTCAGTAGTTGTGGCTCACAGGCTCTAGAGCACAGGCTCAGTAGTTGTGGCGCATGGGTTTGGTTGTTCTGCGGCATGTGGGATCTTCCCGGACCAGGGATCGAACACGCGTCCCCTGCATTGGCAGGTGGATTCTCAACAACTGTGCCACCAGGGAAGTCCCATGATGAAAACTTTTTTTTTGTGGTACGCGGGTCTCTCACTGTTGTGGCCTCTCCGTTGCGGAGCATAGGCTCCGGAGGCGCAGGCTCAGCGGTCGTGGCTCACGGGCCCAGCCGCTCCGCAGCATGTGGGATCTTCCCAGACTGGGGCACGAACCCGTGTTCCCTGCATTGGCAGGTGGACTCTCAACCACTGCACCACCAGGGAAGCCCCGATGAAAACTTTTAAATGGACACAAAATTAGACTGAATGATACAGTGACCTGCGCCCCTACCCCAGGCAGCCATCACCCGACTTCAACAGCTAACAGCCTGTAGGTACCCTTGTTTCACCTACTGTCTTATTTCGAAGTAAATGCTAGACTTATCATTTCATCTGTAAACAGTTCTGTATTTATCTTTTATTTATTTATTTATTTGGCTGCACGTGGTCTTAGTTGTGGCAGGCAGGCTCCTTTGTTGCAGCCCACCAGCTCCTTAGTTGCAGCACATGGGCTCCTTAGTTGTGGCATGCAAACTCTTAGTTGTGGCATGTATATGGAATCTAGTTTCCTGACCAAGGATCGAACCCAGGCCTCCTATGCTGGGAGCACGGAGTCTTACCCACTGTGCCACCGAGGAAGTCCCAGTTCAGTATTTATCTTTAAAAGATAAGAACCTCTTAAAATAATTGCAATACCATCAGCACACTGGAAACAGTATCATCCTGAATATCATGAAATATTCCAGTGTTCACATTTGTCTAGTTGCCTTTTTTTTTTTTCCAGTTGGATTGTCCAAATCCTATTCTGAGTCTGAGCAAGGCCCCCATGTTGCATTTGGTTAAAGGGGTTCTTAGGATCTTTCCTCTCTGGGGCCCGTCCCACATTGTCTTTTCCTCCTTGTTTGTAGGAGAAACCGGGCCGTGTGTTCTGGAGCGTTCCTCACAGTCTGGGTTTTACTGATTTCATGCCCGTGGCCCTTGCATTTCCTGTAAACTGGTAGTTAGAGCTAGACAACTGACCTGGTGTAGGTTTGTTTGTTAAAGAACGCTTTAATGCTTTTATTGAGCCTTCGTGGAGGGCTGCTGCGTGCCCAGCCCCACGGTGGGCACCGGGAGACCCCGGGTGGCCAAGCAGTGCCCCCACGTCTGCTCCCAGGCCAGGGGGCAGTGGCCCTGACCTGGGGTGGGGGTGAGGGGTGTGTACTTGATACCCCGGCCGCTTGCTCACACACAGTGGGGCCTGGCCAGCGCCTAGTGGGTGTTTCACTAGGCATCTTTGTCCTCAGCGGGGTCTGAGGGAGGTCTGGGCCCCGGGTGATGTCCTGCTGTCTGTCCGTAGGCCTGATCCGGAGCGGCGTCCGAGAGCCCCGCCGCCACCCTCCGGTGCTGCGCATGGTGCTGGAGGCGCTGCAGGCGGGGGAGCAGCGCCGGGGTACCTCGGTGGCAGCCATCAAGGTTTACATCCTGCAGAAGTACCCGACAGTGAACGTCCTCCGGTTCAAGTACCTGCTGAAGCAGGCCTTGGCCACAGGCATGCACCGCGGCCTCCTTGTCAGGCCCATCAACTCCAAGGCCCGGGGAGCCACTGGCAGCTTCAAAGTCAGGCACTGGGAATGGGATGGGGGGTGGCGAGAGGCCCCAGGGTGCAGGTGGACTTGCCCGAGGGCTTGAACCCCAATTCCAGCTCTTTCTTCCCAGCCTCTGGGTGCTGGTTCCCTGCCCTGTTCCCTCTCTCCTTCTTTCTCTTCTCGTTCTTCCTCTGTCTTTGCCGAGACCCCCCCGTCTCCCCGGGAAAGCTGAGCACCCACACGGCCCCAGTCACCCTGCTGCTTCCGCCTCCATCCCTGTCGGGTGTGTTGAGTGACCAGAGACCGTCTCAGCTGTTCCACTTCTGGGTCCTTGGCGCCCGTGACCCCTTCCTGGAATTCCTTACCACGGGCGGCACAGACCCAACCTTGGCCTCTACGGGGTTACAGAAATGGGGTTTGTTCCCCGTGCTGTCTGGCTCCAGACCCGTGGTCTCCAGACCAGGGCTGACACCTCCCTGAGCCCCTACATCCTCCTCTTTCAAAGGGGAGGGTCACCCAGAGCTAAGGGCAAATTTGGCCACAGAATTAAGCCCCAGCATCATGACTGCCAGCTGCCACCAGGGAAATCTCAGCGACACAGACATGGGGTCTGTCTTGTCACTGCTGTGCCCCAGCAAGTAGCAGTTCCTCTGACAGGCTCCATGGAACACGGTGGAACGTTCTCAACCTCCACGTTCCAATCCCTGTGGGAATAGGGTGGCTGAGCACAGGGGATCCCCCCTCCTGGAACTCTGGGTGTGTGGGTCAGAGATTGGACACCAGCCATGGCAAGGCCAGGGGCACAGGGTGGGGTGAAGGGAAGCAAGAGAGGGCACTGGGAGTGCATGTGACTGGGAGACGGTCAGGAAAGTGGGCCAACGAGCTGGGAGGCAGGGAAGGGGGTCTTGGGTACCACGGAGTCAGGAATGTGTGTGTGCAGAGAGTGGGAGTTGATTCTGGTCTTGGTGGGTAACGGGGAGCCGTGAGGGTCCAGGGATGCTGGGAGCAGCGTCATCAGCTGGGCTCTAGAGGGGCAGGGACCACCTGTTTGCCGGGGACGCTTGCATCCTCCTGCCACTTGTACCCTCTCTGTTGGCCCCATTGTAAAGATGAGGAGACCGAGGCCAGAGGGGGAGGAGAAGACTTGGGCGAGTCGCCCTTGGGCTGGGGTTGAGGCCCCAGGAAGCCACGAACTCTCAGCCGTCTGACTTCCATGTCCGTGTCCAGCTACACAGAAGCGAAGCGGCAGGGAGACTTGGGGACACAGTGGTGTGAGGCGGGGAGGTGGGGAGTCCGAGCCACAGTCTGTGGATGGTGTTGGGGGGTCAAAGGAGATTATAGGTTAGCATCTCAGAGATACCGTTAGGGCTCAGTGTGCACGATGTGCTCCCAGAAGCCTGGCTCTGAGGCTTCCGGGTGCGGGGGTGGGAGGCGCGTGCCCGCCACCTGTGCAGGGAGGGTAGGAGAAGCTTGGGCGAGTTTTGGAGACTCGGGTTCCTTAGCTCCTAATGGCAGCACCGTTCCTCACAGTGCATGAATGGGTGGAATGCATTACTGGCAGCCGGCATTTAGGAGGTGGTTTTGTGTGCTCTCCGCAAGCCCTTGGCCGCCTTCCTCTCCCCCTCCTTTGGGATGGGGTCTTCTCTGAGCCTCATGTAGGGTATAGGGGCGTAAGACATCCAGAACCTCTGCTCTCAATCCCACCCCGTTCTCTCCTCCTCCAGTTAGTTCCCAAAGACAAAAGGAAAATCCAGCCCAGGAAGACGTCCACCATGACGGCCCCCAGGAGGCCTGGTCAAGCTGAGGGAAAGGACTCCAAGAAACCAACTGAGTCAAAGAAGAACCCACCCAACCCAGGCGATGTGAAAAAAGGATCCAGGAAGCCGGGAGAGGGGCGGACAGCTCCCCCCAAACCAGGTGCAGCCAAGAAGGCCCCCAAGAAAGGCCAGCAGACCAAGGACCAAGAGGCAAGACTGGGTGAGGCCAAGAAGTCCTCCCAACAGCCAGACAAGGCCACACAGGCCCCTCCCATTGCCAGTGGGCCCAGCGGGAAGTCAGAGGTCAAAGGTGGAAGGAGCAGCCGAGGTATGGATGTGAATGGGGTGAGAGGAGGGCATGGGAGGGGGTTTCTGGCAGCCACGGGACATGAGCTGGAATGGAGGGGCCAGCTCTGGGAGGAGGGGTTTCTAGCCAGTGTGCCCTGAGCACTTGGCTTGACCCAGAGAGACAGAGAATGCATGGTAGCTGGTGGGGGTGGGTATGGGGGAGAAGAGCGCAGAGAGAGGAGGAGGGGTCATCTCTGAGAAGGATCAGGGGAGGCTTCCTGGAGGAGGTGTCCCAGGCAGAACAGCTTGTGCAGAGGCCTGGAAGCATGAAGAAGGTGGAAGAAGTACAAATAGTTGTGTCTGTGTGCACTGGGGGAGGGGGAGGGGAGGTTGTGAAGGGCAGCAGGAGGCTGGACTTTATCTGGAGGACGATGAGGAGCCACAGAAAGACTCTGAACAGGGGAGAGCTAGGGCCCAAGGTGTTCTTAAAAATGTATCCTGGGGCTTCCCTGGTGGCGCAGTGGTTGAGAGTCCGCCTGCCGATGCAGGCGACACGGGTTCGTGCCCCGGTCCGGGAAGATCCCACATGCCGTGGAGCAGCTGGGCCCGTGAGCTATGGCCGCTGAGCCTGCGCGTCCGGAGCCTGTGCTCCGCAACGGGAGAGGCCACAGCAGTGAGAGGCCCACGTATTGCAAAAAAATAATAATAATAAAAGAAAAATGTATCCTGGCTGCCGTGTGGAAGATGGGTTAAAGGCTAGAGGCAGATACACCTGTCGGGGGCATTTGGTGTGGGCAGGCGTGGAGCTGTGAACGGCGTGAGGGGTGGTCATCCACTGTCCAGTTAATCCTCCAACTGTCCGTGGGAGAGAGGCTGCTACCTTCAGTTGGCAGACTAGGGCACCCAGACTCAGAGAGGCTAAACTACTTGCTCCAGGTCACACAGCCTGCAAGTGTCAGAGTGAGGACTGGGCCCTGGGCAGGACGAGGGCTGTGGGACCCCTGAACCTTCCTGCCCAGCAGCAGCTCCTCCTGAAAGGGGTGTTTCTCACATGCCATCCCCTCTTCCAGCAGATACCAAGGCCCACAGGAAAACAAAGCCTGGGAGTCAGAGTTCCAAACCCACGGTCACCAAGGTAGGTGCCTGGGTGACTTCCTGCTCGGGGTCTCCAGCGACCAGAGCTTGGGCATCCCCACCCGGCCCCAGAGGGGTCAGCCGAGGAAGGGGGCAACTTATTTTCCTACAAAGTACAGAGCACTTTCCTCCCCTCCCCGGCCCTTCAGCGCCGTGAGGATCACCATCCCCATTTTATAGATAAGAGGCTGAGACTTAGAGAGGTGAGGTCACTTGTCGAAAGTGACCCAGCGCTGGGATTTCACCCCTAAGTTCGTGGGCTCTGAGCTGTGCACCCAGCCCTGCCCAGCTCTGTCCCCTTGCTCCTGGTTTGCTTTCTTATAGGGCGAGGATGCTGCTGCTTCCCCAGCCAAAAAGAAGATGGGCAGCAAGGTCCCTAAAAAGGCTGCTGCGCAGGGGGCCGGGGAGGGGCCTAAAGCCAAGGCCCCTGTTCCTCCCAAGGGCAGTGGGTCCAAGATGGAGCCTGTACCACTGGCCAGGAAGGCAGAGGCCCCTAAAGGCCCGAGAAAGCCTGGCATTCCCACCAAGTCCTCTGCGTCCAAAGCGGCCAGTAAGAAGGCAGAAGCCGAGAACTAGAGGCGGGGTGGAGACAGACTGAGATTCTACTTTTTTATTCCCCTAAAAACTATCACTCTATTTCACTGTAACCTATTTATCAATAAAGACTTTTCCCCCCACAAATTGGTGTGGAAGGAGGCTGAGGTCTAAGGATTTGGCCATCCAGGGCTAGGACCCAGATAGAAGCTTCTGCCCTGGGGAGATGCAGACCGCTGCAGGGATCCAAAGTCACCTAGGCACCCGTGGAGGCACTGGAAAGGTGTTTAATGCAGCCTGAGATCTGGGACTGCTTCCTGGAGGGGGCAGCTTTTGGTTTTAAAGGATGAGTAGGAATTGCCAGATAGATGAGGGGAAGGGCCTTGCAGGCAGAGGGCCCAGAATGTGGGGTGGAGCTGGGAGGATGGGGATTTGTGGTTTTGAGAGGAGAACAGGTGGGGGAGGGGTGGCATGAGCCCCGGGCCATGGAAGGTGTGGAAGGGTGGACTAAGGAGGGCAGACATCGTCTTGGGGGCATTGGGGAGCCAGGGTGGGTTATAGGCAGGGAAGAGGCTGACGTGGTGTGTGTTGAGAAGGATCCCTGTGGCTGCGGAGAGGTGGGGTTAGAGGAGCTGAGAGGAGGTGTGGACTGTTCGACTAGTCACTGAGTAGGACTGTGGGCCCCTCGGGAATCCTCAGAAGGAAGAGAAAGCACAAAGGCTGTGGGGTGGGAATGCTCTTGACAGGCATGTGTGGCTAAAGCCCAGATGGAGACAGAGGTGAGGTCTGGGGTGTTTTAAAAACGTATGTGACACTGTTCCCATGGAGAGCTGGAGTCTGTGCCCCTGCCCCTTGAACCTGGGCTCGTTGATTGCTTGACCAATAGACTACAGTGGAATTCACGTTAGGACAGTTGCTGGGCTCAGGCCTTAAGAGACTGGCAGCTTCTACTTCCTGTGGGGGGGTTGTTTCTTGTTGTTTTTTCGCTTTTTAATAGTTGCTCTTAGAACTCAGCCACCATGCTGTGTGGAAACCCAAACAGCCGGTGGAGAAGAATTGAGGCACCCCAGTTGTCAGCCCCAGCTGGGCTCCCTGACCAGCCAGCACCAATTTGCCAGCCATGGGAGTGCACCATCTTGGAAATGGATCGCCTATCCCAGTTGAGTGGCCCCCCTGACACCACGTAGAACAGGGACGGGCCTTCCCTGCCGAGCCCTGCCCCAGGCAGACACATAAGCACCACAAATGTATTGGGGTGGTTTGTTACGCAGCAGTAGATACCATAACAAGGGCTGCAGGGTAGACTAGGGCAAGATCCTGAAGGGCCTTGTAAGCCAGGGTAGGAATTTTGGGTTTTGTTTAATTGTGATGAACAGCCATTAGAGGCCAGTGAGCAGCGGAGTGCCTGCAGGGGGGACACGGGAAGCAGCAGGGGGCTAAGGAGGTGACCCCTGCAATGGTCCAGCTGAGGGGTGGGCCGCCATGGAGGGAGGGGTTAGAAGTAGTGGATTCTGGGTAGAGGTTTAAGCAGGGTGGATGGGATATGCTGAGGGAGTGGATGTAGAAAGGGGTCCACAGTTTGGGGTCCACACAAGTGCTTGTGTGGCGATCACCTCCTGGGGCGAGAACAGCTCGTTCAGGGGGCTGCCAAGAGGTGGTCCAGATGAGGGGTGACTGCTGAGCCAGGGAGTGCGCAGAGACGGAAGGGGTGGATTTGAAGGGAGTCAGAGGTAAGCTGGATGGCACTTGGGAAGGGGAAGATGGGACACAAAGGGAAACTGAGGCAGCCCAGCATGGAGCATCAGACTGTCCCCTTTCTGCCGCTGCTCCCTCAGCCCTGCTCTCGCGTCCCCGAATCCCACGTGAGGCTTTGTCTCACTGCCGATGGCTTCCTGGCTTCCCTGGGGCATCTGTAACGTGGCTGCCAGCAGAGCCCCGAGGGGCACAGTGAGCAGACGGTAGTGAGCTGGGTTGGCGCTTCCCCCTTAGGGGTTCTGGTTGGGGGAGGCACCCTGGGCAGCTTCTGGGGGGGGGCGGTTGGGCATCACCGGGCATCCCACCCCCACGAGCTGGCAGCAGGCCAGTAGCCCTGACCTGGCAGAGGACAGCACCCAGCACCCAGCACCCACAAGACTTGGGAGGGCCTCCTCCCCTGCTTGAGGACAGACATTGCGCCAAAGTTTCCACCTCCTGTGACCCTCAGACGGAGCTAAGGGACACCTGTAGCTGCAAGGCAAGTCTTCAGGGCCCCAGACAAGGACTGGGGGTGGTTCACAGTGGTTGGCCACCTTCTGTGCCGAGAAATGACCCTAGAAACTAGAGATGTCCTCCCTGTGCAAATGCGTTTTTAAGCTTCAAGAAGGAATTGCATGTTGCATGGGGGACGAGGCAGCTGCGAAATGGTGAGTACATCCTGATCTCGATTATCACTCCTCAGCCTCCGACCCAGGCAGGCACACGATTTGGAGTTTGGAATGGCATGCTCTCAGATTTTAACCATGGGTGGGTTAGGGTAGCTTTTATTTTCTTCAGGCTTTTCGTACTTCCTGACAGTTCTGCAGAAAACATGTATTCATTCTAGCATCACACCCCCCCAAAAAATTCTTATCAAATCGTGTAAATAACTTAGACTAGAAAGTCTGCTGCTTAATAAAAAGGCATCAGTGATCAGAATAGAGAATTTGAAAAGATAAAGAATCTCCGCCCAGAAGGCACTACAGGAAGAGGCTATTTTTAAAGCTAAAAATTGTTTACTTTTCTCATTTTTCTGTTCTCAATTCTAGAACTGGTATTTTTGGGATTTTGTTTAAATTGTACGAATTTTTCTGTCCTGGCTCTTACTCCTGATTAATGTGTGTGTGGGGGCGGGGATTATTTTTCCTTCATAAAAAGAAAAAACTAACTTAAGCCGCTTCTGATTTGGAGGTGGTCCTTTAGTGACCTTTCCTGGGGGTCAGTGAACCTCAGCCCCAGCTCAGGCCTAGAGCCAGCTGGGTGGGCTGGGGGTCTCTGTGGTATTTGCTGATCCCAAGTCATGTGCTGAGGTGAGAAATAGTGCAGGGTTATACCAGCCTGGGAGAAACTGTCTCTGTTTCCTCATCTGAATAATGGAGTTAATGGCATATATTTATGACAAATTCAGGGCGAGTGTGTAAACGGCAGTTCTCTTTCCAGGGTGGTCACCTTGGAGCTCCCCACACGCTTTGGGGGCCGCTGTGGGAACTCCAGCCTGGAGGAAGCATGGAACAGAGGAATGAGGGGCCCACGCAAGCTGGTTTTTGGCTTCCCTGTGCCGTGACATGGGAAATTCCTCGACTGTGCTGAGAGTCAGTTTCTACATCTGTAAAATGGGGATGATATTCTGTTCCTCACGGCTTATTACATAGGTAAGTAGGTTAGGAGCAGGGCCTACCCAGGGGTAGATGGCACACAGCAGCTGTGACATATTCCTGGCGGTCAGTGGATGCCCGCGTTTCCCCACTGAACCTTCTTGGAAGCGGAGTTGGTATCTGCCCACCCCTCACGAGGGGAGCCGGGCAGGGTCCTAAGCCAGGCCCCCCTCCCTCCTTTCTGCTACAAGTACAGCCATCTCAGGATAAAGGCTGGAGCCCACGGCAGGTTTTCCCATCAGGCTTTTATTATAAAGAAGGTTCCAGAGCATCCCAGCCTCCCCCTCCAGCCCAGCCCCAAGGTCTGCGACCTGTCCCAGCACTGGCTGGGTCAGCCCCAGCCAGCCGCTTCTGGCAGAACAGAAAGGACGGTGTTCTCAGGGCGCGGGGGGTCTCTGCCAGGTCTGCCTGTCCCCTGGAACAGTCATTTCCAGTGTTGCGCTGGGAGCCCCTCGGGACCCCTCCCCGGGTCCTCTGCACTAGTGGCAGCTATTCACAGTTGGCGCGCGATCAGGTTTTTAATATATAAAAGCTTTTTTTAAAAAAAACAACAACAAAAAGTGGTGCTCTCTTTAGAAACACTTCCAGCAAGATCAAGTAGCCCAGCTACAGCCTCGGTGCAACTCAGCCCCCTCCCCTCCCTCGAGACCAGGATCGCCCAGCACCTGTCCCCTCGGCCCCTGCCCGCCCGGCTCCCAGGGCAGCACAGAGCCTCCCGCGGGCAGTGGTGCTGCCCACTCAGCCAGCGGCCGCTCAAGAACAGAAACCTGACACTGCTGGATGGCGTGTGGCCGGGTCCTCTGCAGGTGAGTAGAGAAGGGGACGACATTTTGGTGGTTGAAGAAGTGGAAACCAGCTGAAGGCTGGTTCAAGGGGCCTCCCCTCCACCGGGTAGGATGAGGTAGTGTTTCCGGCTGCGACCTCAGGGCCGGGTGGCCTGTTCGCCCATCGGTGGGTTCGTTAGCACTGGGCCGTGCAGGGCAGAGCAAGTGGGGTGCCGTCCAGGCTGTGCTGGGTGGACGGTGGGAGCCTTACCGGGGAACGGCTGCAGCATTTGAGCCCCCAGCCCAGAGCCGGGTCTGGGGGCAGGTGGGAGGGGATGGTGCCCAAGGGGCCAGGGCTGGGGGCTCCGCTGGCTGGCTCAGAGAGGCCCCTCGTGCTGCGTCGTTTCCCAGCCGGAGTCCGAGGCACTGGGGACAAAGCGAACTCGAGGGAGGGCGCCCGTCCTGCCATCCCCCAGGCTCAGGCCTCGCTGTAGCACTCGTAGATGTTGTCCTCCATCAGGGCCACCACCTGCTCAAACTTGTGCTGCAGCTGCGTCCTCCGGGCTGTGGGGTTTGCCTCCAGGGCGCTCATGATCTGAGGGGGAAGCGGAGGGAGCTGGGCCAAAGCCCAGGCCCAGGACCCCCGGGTCCCACTGCACATCCTGGGGGAGAACACACTGCCTGGATTTCCACTGCTGGTGGCCACCCCAAAGCGGAAACGTCCTGGGGATATGAATGCCTGAGAGGGACCCTCACCCTGGGTTTGTTTCCCTGAGCAGGTGGCAGTGAGCAGGGCTGACATGGGGGCATCGTAGCTCCGAGGGGGGCCTCGCACTGGGGGCTACTCACCTGTGGGCGATACCTCTTGGCGTATTTATAAATCTCGGCCATGGCCACGTTGGTGTTGAACTCATTCTGGTATTTCTGTGAGGAAAGACAAGGCGGAAGTCGGAGAGAGGTTGACTCCATGGTCAAAACCAGGCCCAGCCCAGCCAAGACGCTGCTTAAACACAGCTCCTCGCTGACGGTCAAGTCCCGCCCGGCAAGGTCCTGCGGCGCACCCGTGACTCCTCCGCCAGGTGCGCGTTCATTTCCTGCTCGCTGAGCGGAGTCATGTCATGGATCTGTTTGTAGTAGCGCTGCACGATCTTCCGGTACTCGGGGATCTCCTTGGCGTAGAGGAGCTTGTTGGTTGGTGAGTCCTGGGCAGAGGGGAGTGAGGGATTCAGACACAGACTCGTTTTCTCCTGGATGAGCCCTCGTCTCTCCTGCCACACAAACGAGCCCATCACTGAACGTCCCTGCCCTGCGGGCTTTGG